GAAAAAAGAAAACAAGTTGCAGGCAGAGAGAATCAGATACAGTTTGGTGGGGAGGGCGGTAGGCGGTTCCCGCAAAAGATAGAAACCAATAAGTTAGGGGGAAAGACCGAAAGAGAACAAAAGGGAAGAGAAGAGAAAAGAATATCGTTATCGTTTTCACATGACAGCACTGAGTCGATCGTTCACTGAGAGGGAATATTCTTGACTGACACTTCGTGAGCGCGAGTGAGAGAGAGAGAGAGAGCTCGTGACAATGGTGAGCTCACTAAACAAACAAAAGACACATCACAGGATACATGGGGAGATCTCTCCTAAAATACATCCGTCTGTCCGTGTGGAAAAAAATCGGTTCTAGATCTAGAAATCTACATCTAGATCAACTGTCGTGCACGAAACCTTGCAGATATTGCACTTCTGTAGGCCAGCGACTGAACAAAACTATTTTTTCAAAAGACTTTGATCCATTGATGTTTCGTTTTGGTAAGTGTATTACGGCGCTCGCAGCTGTATAGGTCATATGAGTGCGCGGGTCATATTAAATGTTTTCAGTGTGGTAGGAATTAATTTATTTTGAATTTTGCCCAGGTGGCGGCCGAAGTCTGCTCTTACCGATATTGGACCACCAAGGGATCTTTAACGTGCGCAACTTGCACACGGGACCTCCGAGATTTTTCATCCTTATTCCAGAAGGCTGGGTGTTAGATCTTACCTACCCTAAGACCGGGAGTGCGGATGAAAGAGCAGTGAGAGGAGCCAAGGAGTAGCGGTAGAAAGGCAGCATGAAGTGTTAAGAGCCCAGTAGAGTGGGCAAATGAGATGAGGGGGGTGAGGGCAGAAATCGGAGATGAAAGCAGATGACAGAATATTGTAAGAAAGCAGAAAGCGGTGTGAAAGGAGAACATTGTAAAGAAGAAAATATCCGTCGCTGTTAGGTTTCGAACCCACGACCTATTGAATGAGAGGCAAACGCCGTACATCTAGACCTTGAGAGCCCCCTTTCAATCTCTGAAGTCTTAGGGTCCGTGGAGAGCAAACAGCTGCTGTTTTCTTTTTTTATTATTTTTTTTTTTAGTAGAGATTTTACGGCGCTTGCAACTGAATAAGGTCATATGAGCACCAGAAGATTAGAGGTGTTACAAGAGAGTGACAAACATACAAAAAAGAAGAAGGGGAGATAAGGACGATATATCTTTGATAGGAAAGAAGAAGCAAACCACACCAGAGCACCCGCCAACCACCCACAGCTGCTGTGTGAACGGTTCTTTTCATGTCACTGAGAAATTGTTACGGAGATGTCAAGGTCCTCATATCTTTAGTTCTTCGCAGATAATGAAGAAGGAAAGAAAAAAATAAAGAACAAGAGAGAGAGAGAGAGAGAGAGAGAGAGAGAGAGAGAGAGAGAGAGAGAGAGAGAGAGAGAGAGAGAGAGAGAAAGAGAGAAAGGAGTTAGCGAGAAAGACCGAAAGAGAGAGAGATGAAGAGAAAGAGAATCACTGAGAGAGAGCGAGGGAGCGAGAGAGATAGAGAGAGAGAGAGAGAGAAAGAGAGACAAAGAAAGAGAAATAGTGAATGAGAGAGCATTTGAGAAGTGAAAGAGAGAGAGAGAGAGAGAGAGAGAGAGAGAGAGAGAGAGAGAGATGAATAGAGAGACAGAGAGAGAGACAGAGAGAGAGACAGAGAGGGACAGAGAGAGAGAAAGAGACAGATAGAGAGAGAAAGAGACAGATAGAGAGAGAAAGAGACAGATATAGATAGAGAGACAGTGAGACAGAAAAAAAGGGGGGGGGGTTGTCAAGCCAAGATTACTTTTTAATACCATGTTTCTATCGTAACACACGTTTGTTCAACGGCCGAGGAGGCAGTGGCAACAGTAACACAACACCGATAGAATGCAATTGCTCGATTTTTATGCATCTGCATTGAAAAGACAGATGGAAGTGGAGGTCCATGATCGCCCATGCCAGTCGGCAAGGCACCGGATGATGATGATGATTGAAAAGACAAACATGCAATGTTCTGGTAACATGCAAATTTTAAAAGTAAAATTACTTTCATTATACGAGCCAAATCTGGTGTCTGTGGTGTAGCTATTAGTCACTTCGCTGTCGCACTCAGGAGACCCGAGTTCGGTTTCCGAGTGGGAAGAAATTTTTATCGAGTTTATTGGGCGTTTCGCTGGGATGATGTATCTCTCTCAGTATATATTTATGTGTATAGTATAACACGATATAATATAAATATATATTATGTAACTGTACAGATGCAGACAGACAGACAGACAGACAGACATACATACAGACAGACAGACAGACAGACACAGACAGGCACACATGCACACCGCACGTACGCACTCACGCTCACACGCACATACATCCATACATACACACATATACGTACACACATACATACATACAAACATACATACATACAAACATACATACATACATACATACATACATACATACATACATACATA